GCTCACTCTAGGCCGCCGCCGCTCACTCTAGGCCGCCGTGTGTGACGCTGTGGAAAGCCAAAAAAGCCAAACTACTTTGTTTGGTCTTCCAAAAGAGGACACGACTAGAAATCAGTGGTTAAACAACACTGTCAACACTGTTCCAGAACACTTCAACCCAACTATTCAGATGTGTGCTGCGCATTTTATGGAGGACTATTTCCTGAACCTGGGAGAGTAGTGTAAGTACGTTTTTTATATTTAAAGAGTTTTTATATTTAAAGCGAGTTTTTTGGGCAGTGTAGAGTAGGGCTTGTTGTTTGTCATTTCTCCGATCACAAATGCAGACATGGTTTTATGTTTACGTGGCGCGATGCAACGCATAAAAAGACAGTATAAGTCATTATAATCCGTAATTATGTCCCCACTGGATGCAGCAAATGCCTCGTTTATAATGGGTTTTAATGTTGTTTTCTCGCCGCTCCGGCTGGGACAAGGCATCACAATATGGTAAGGGGCGTAACATTTCCGTCACACGCTTGAGGTATTCGGCCAATCACAACGCACTGGATAGCTGGCCAATCACAGCACACCTCACTTTTCAGACCGATGAGCTTTGTAAAAATCTACGTGTTTCAGAAAGGCAGGGCATAGAGGAGAAACAATAATGTACAGTATGTGGAACATAATGTGTTTTTTTAACCTTAAACCCCTTTAAATCGAGATTTATACTTCAACTGAAAGCTGAATAAATAAGCTTTCCATTGATGTATGGTTCTTTAAAGTTGTCCAAATGAAGTTCTTAGCAATGCATATTACTAATCAAAAATTAAGTTTTGATATATATTACAAAATATCTTAATGGAACATGATCTTTACTTAATATCCTAATGATTTTTGGCATTAAAGAAAAATCGATAATTTTGACCCATACAATATTTTGTTGACTATTGCTACAAATATACCTGTGCTACTTATGACTGGTTTTGTGCTCCAGTGTCACAAATAAGAACTGATAATAAGAACTGATTCAAGGACAAACAGAGTGTAATGTGAATAATACACTGTAAAAAATGGAACAAGCTATCTACTTAAAAAAATTATGGTAACAATATTCCACATAATATTTTTGAGTAGTTTTTAAGGCTTGATTTTTTTAATGGAATCTACCTGAATAAATAATGTAAAATCATTCTAAATTAATTAATCTATGACACAATGAATTTAATATAATTAGTGAAATGTGCTCAATTATTTTAAATTGATTCTCAAAAGTCTGTGATTTTGAGTGAAGCCTGTTTGTATTTGACTTTGAGTTATTTTTTACATTTAAAAGACTGTATACAGCCAACCAGCTCAAGTAGGAAAATACTTGAGCAATACTGGAAAATACTGCACTAGCAAAGCTACTGCTCATTGAACAAGGCTTAATGCCTTAGAGAAGTAGTAGCCATAACCATAAGCTCTACACTTCTGCACAATGGTAACGATTGCACTGCACAATGAAAACTTCAATGTAACTTCAAACTCTTTCAAATGTCAAACATAACTGAACATTAAACATTAATAATTCTTTCCTTCATTTTTTTTAGTTTAATCAGTTCCTCAATTCAAGCCTCAAAACTGCTTAAGTTTCCTTTAAAAAAATGAGGAAAACACATCTCTTGGTTTTATTAGTAAAAAGTCCTCAATATTTTCTATACAACACTGAACCACAATTTCTTTAATGAAATATACACACTATTTTTAATTATCACCTTAATTTTTTTAATGAAAATTACAAGACCCATGATTCATTTTTTTACATTTTTATAAATTAGAATAAATCATTTGGAAAATATTTTAATTTCAGCCATTACAACATATTTTTACAATATGTATCAAATATATTTTTTTTTCCCCAACACATACTTCTACACTGTGATTCATTCTCACCCAAGTCTCTCCACATCCCTCATAAATTCCTTCTGAAGGAGAGCTGGGTCTGTCTTTTATCCTGTCTATTGATTCAGGCATGGAAGGAGACAGCAGGACTTCATAATTCAACCTAACTTTTGATATAGTATAGCAAAACATCAAGCCAGTCTACTCAGTGTTTGACTTATCCGAAACCACAAATCCTTTCAGACAGCATACTTCCAGACTCATACAAGATTATTTGAGTTAATGTACGTGTAAAATGAACTTGGCAAGACAAGGGGATAGTGTAAACTTGGTGCACCTGGTGTTTAAGTATTGTAAACATGCTGTATTTTTTCTTCATGTTTCATTCATGTATGTTACGCTGCACTCTCTTTTAAGTATTCTGTTGCTATTGTCCTTCACTTTTCTTGTTGTTAGATGACCGGTGGTGTGTGATTACTTCGGTGTGGTTGGCTCTGGTACTGACTGTGGTTGTGGTAACCCTATTGAGTGTGGGCAACCTGATCTTTAAGAGCAGAAAACGTGAGTATCACTTCTACAAAACAAATCTAGTCAGGCCCAACAGACATTTTCGACTTGGAATCCATAATTACAATATAATTGAGAATGCTGTGTGGATCTCATTTTGGTCTTCTCACTTTAGGAAAGTCCCGTTTGGTTGCATCTGTGCCAGTTTCAGCCCGTGGACATCAGCTCAAAGAGCTCAGTAAGCAAAAAGAAAATTGTGAGTGACACTGGCAAGTATAGAGCTGCAAAGTTTTTCTATAATTGTGCTAATCAATTCTCTCATTTTTACTTTCAGTAATGAGTGCTGTCCTTGCTGTGTCCATAGCAACGTGCAGCATAAGTGGTAAGCAAGTGTCCTTGTTAAACAATCATTCTTCATTTGTGTAAATAAATAAATGACAAAAAAAGTACCATATCAGGTACAATGGTACCATGGCACTGAGTGATTGTCACATATTTAAATGGTCCTCCAAGGATCTTCAAAGACTTGGTCAAGTCAAGTTACTTTTATTTAGCGCTTTACACACAATATAGATTATTTCAAAGCAGCCATGATATACCATGATATTACCATGGAGCATGACCCCAAAACCATGGTAATACCATGTTCAAAAATAGAACTGGATCAAGGGAACTGATAGAAGGAAGGTTGATAGATTTCAATCTCCTTCATCTCTACAGATGGTGATGTATTCTCTGAGAAATCGTCAATGGGGAACAGAACAGAAGGTAAACAAACAACCTGTTCTATCATACTGCACTCTTTTTACCCAGAAGAGATCTGTGCTTTATCACAATGCAACCCTTACATCTTTACCTAGCACTGAGTTTCCTTACTCGAATAGAAATTCTCCAGACCACTAACTCTCAATCTACACTTTCCCAGAAAACCTTCTGAAGGTAGCTGACCTCACATACAAGAGAAGTTATCGGATATTTATTTTATACAGTGTGGCAGAGTACAATAATTAAAGGTGAAGTGTCTGTAATGGTGGCAAACTCCCGAAAAGCAACTCAGGCAAACAGATTAGGTCTTGGAGCAATTTAATGATGACACTCGTGATGAAAATTCTGTCATCATTTACTCACCTCATGCTGTTCCAACCAGTTTGACTTCCTTCTGTGGGATATAAATAAATAAGTTTGTGCGAATGTTCATGCCACTTCATTTCCATATAATGAAAGTGAATGGGGTTCAGAGAATGGCAAGCTTCAAAAGAGACATAAAAAGCACACATGTGACTCTTCTGGAGCCATATGATAGCTTTGTGTGCCATTTTATGGGCTGTGGTCACCATTCACTTTTATTAAATGAAATAGCAGACATTCTGCAATGAATAATTATTTTCTGTTCCCTGGAAGAAGTTTGAGTTTAACTATTACACACACCCACTATCACATCAAAAACAGTATGTGTATGTACTGCGTAGGTAGTTGCATCCAGTATATAACATCTGGTTTCCTATACAGCATATTTGTATATTCCCTTAGGCCTATGGTATGTGTGTGTAATTTTTTTTAATTGTCTCTGATGTTTTAGGTTTGTCACCAATCTATGAGATCACAGGTATGAATGGGACACATTTACATATTCTTTCAATAAACAAATCAAAATACAAACACAATAGAGCCTACTTTCAGATGACTAGCATTGAATAAACATATTCCAATAGACACAAATTATAATCAAATTTTGCTGTAAATGATCTTACATACAGGTTAACTTTAGTTAGAGAGAGAAATTGATTGTATGATGTGCCACTTGATTTTTGTTTTGTCTGATTACACTATATGACTCACTTGAAATATTTTGACAAAAATTGACTTGTTTCCAGAGACCTCACTAGATGAAGAAGAGCAAACTGAAGATGAGGAAGATGAGCAATGTAATGCCTCTGTAACAAAGGAAGGTAAATGTATCTACATAAAAATGAAAATTGTAAATAAATATTAGTATGGTTTTCCTCTTTATAATAGAACTAATTTATTATTTTGGATTAAAAAATGCTCCAAAAGTCAAAACCCCCAAGCATTCCATGTGTTTAGAATATTAAACATAGCATTTGTATGCTTTAAATTCAATGTAAGTGGAGACTTAAGAAAGCAAACTAATACTTCAAAAAGATGTCCACTCTGATTTCCTCATTCGTCGGCTGATGTAACACTTTCTGATGTTTGATGATGGTATATACTCTTAGTATTTTGATGTCACTACTAGTTCTTTATCAGTATAGCCTGAAACAGTCTTTGAATCTTGCATAATATCTCATCCAGTCACATTGATGATGATCGGTATCTTTGATGCCAGCATGTTGCTCCGGGCAGAATAAATTACTCTACAGATGGCCTCCTGGCAGTCTGATGTTGCCATGGTTATGGAATTCTACTAGATACATTTTTAATAAGAGTTTTTAAAAAATCACATCAGCTCCAACATCTGGCAGCACAGGGCCACTGTGAACCACCAAGTAAGTGACCATGTTTCTTTAATGTCTCATTAATGAGCTAAGCTGTTCAGAAGCATTCATTTGAAGTGTTTGTCACTTTACACCCTTCTCCATTCTCTTTTTTCCATGTCTAGCTTACCTGCATCATAGAAGCAACTTTTCATGTTCTGGTCATGAAGAAGATGGGGAGCTTTAACCCTTTAAATCTAAGAGAGCAGAGGCACTTTATTAAAACAGAAAATATATTTGTTTACAACACGACAGAGGCCAGATAACTTCATCATGCTTTCTCCGTAGATAAACATCATGTTAAAGTGTCTGTAAGTGACGTTAGGAGTTCTAGAACTGATAATGAATTAAACAAGTATCCTGTTCTACAACCCCATCGCTTGGACACAACCATAGTGACCAAGCAATATACACTGCTCCAGAAAATCAACACAATGGATCAGTCAGGAATTATAAGGAGAGAGCAGGTGTCTGTGGCCACCACCTACAAAACCATTCCCTTTATGGGGGTCATCTTGCTGCTGCCTCTCCAGTGCACCTGTTGTCACATTCATTAGCACCAAAGCATGTAAAACTGATTCATAATCACTTATGATTCCTAACTGGAAAGATTAACATCCCTGATGTTTAAACATTCTGCACAAACCAAACTCATATAAGTTCATCTTCCGTGCACTCATCTTCCAGCTTTCAATATATGCACTGCCCAACATTATTAACTAAGAGTGCCTCATCTGTAAACATTTCTAAAAGTTGTTGTTGTATTGCGTCTTTGTGTGTGTTTAAAAGCTGCTTTTGTAGGTTTCTTCCACAGATCTGCAATTGACAGTCTTAGCGTTATCTTCACTACAGGAATATGCATCACAGTATAGTGTTATGTCACACACAGTCTCAACAAAATCTGTTTGCCCAATGCTGAAAAAAAATGAGGGAAGATTTCTGTGACTAGGCTGAAGACATAAACCATGGTTCTCCAACATCCATTTAGCAAGCAGCATGGCAACACTAATGTGATTTCATAATTATACAACACCAGTCTTAAGCTCCTGTGGCTATTAAAGTAATACTCATGTTTCCATAATGCACTTTTTTTCTTCACGTCATCTTAAAATGTACAGAGATTTGTAACTGGTGCTGAGAATATTTTCACAACAGATGCTGAATAAAAACACAACAGTACTGAGAATTTCAGTCTTTAGTTTCCTATTATTTATATTACAGATTATACTATTACCATAGATCTTGGTTAATTTTATTCAAAACAAAAACTGGTAATGGTGTATGAGTGATTGATTAATTAAAGTGAATGGTAGTGGCAGACCTCCAAATCTGCTCAGACAATACAACACATGATTAATAATCTTCATTTTTTGTAAAGTAACTTAAAAAAAAAAAAAAAAAAATACATAAGCAGCTTCCTAAATAAGTTAGGAGTTTCAATCTTATTTTCCTAATTATCTCATTGTAAGAGTCTATATATAGACTAGAATTGCACTTTTTGGTGTAAGCTCTCATACTGAAGCAACATACCTAAACACAAAACACAGATACAGACAGAAACACACACAAACAGAATACAGGCACTACTCTGTGGATGCTGCTTCTGGGGCTGGCTTGGCCGCAGTTCTGCTGGTCTGGATGTGTGAGACCTGAAGAACAGGCAACAGCAGCTGGAATGCATTGTGAATGTAGGTAGTGCTATTACACCCCTGAGGAAACAAGACACACAGTGTAGTGATGAAGGGTCATCATTATCATAACTACAGTCATTATAATTAGCATCATCAAGTCCCCTATCGCAGTCTCCTCATTTGTCAACTGCATTATGAAAAAAAATATCACATTCAGTTTTACCTCCAGCATCACACTGTCCACTAGAGGATTTACTACTTCTGCTTTTCTCTGACTCTATAGGGTCAAAAAAGAGAGAGACAAAAAAACTGAAAAATGTTAATTCTAAACTTCAGCACAAAAATTTTATAATTTTTATTAAAAGCAACAGTATACACCTTTTATATATAATAGTATAACAGTATCTATATTTTAAATCACAAATACATTTCAATTAACGAAACTGATTTTTAATAGTTTTAGTTAAATGATAACAACATGTGTAACAGCATTTGACAGAATAAGACTATGAACGTGCATTAAGAAATTAAATGGGATCAGTTATGTCATCAATAATGTTTTCAGAATGAACTGAGCACAGGTCAGTCAGACTCACCCCTGCAGCCAGTAATGTGTCCGAGAACTTTCGGGCCAGGCATCTGACCTCCTTACACATGGCACTGGTTAACCTGAGCATACTCAACAGTCACTAAACAGCTAATAAAAAGATTGGTCTAATAACGTCTTATGGAAATGGCCAAGGAACTCACCTGACCAGTACACTGGCCTGTTGGCTGGCTGGCTTCTCCAGCTCTTGTCCGTGTAAAATCAACTCAGTCACTTTGTGTAGCTGTTCTATACTACGAGCGGTCACCTCAGCAAGACTGCCCACTGATGACACATATACTTTCTATACACACAAAAAGACACATTTAAATAAACATTTATACACAGAATATTGGAATGATTTCTGAAGGATCATGTGACACTGAAGACTGGAGTAATGGCTGCTGATAATTCAGCCTTGCCATCACGGGAATAAAATATATTTTAAAATAGATTAAAATAGAATTAAAACAGTTATTTTAGATTGTAATATTTTTTCACAATATTACTGTTTTTACTGTATTTTTAATCAAATAAATGCAGCCGTGGTGAACATAAGATTCTTTTAAAAAATAATCAAATAATTATTTATTTATATAATATTTAATAATTATTAAAAAATAAATAAGTAATTATTGCAAATATTTTTTGAAAGAAAGAAAACAAATATATATATATATATATATATATATATATATTTATATGGTTAAGATGTGATAACACACTGAAGACATTTCTCACCTTAACAGCATCCGAGTTTCCGTCCTTTGCACTATTTTCCTTATTCTCTCCCTCTTCTCCCTTCTCTTTCTTTTCTTCTTCTTTATTTTCCTCCTTTTCTGGAGCAGGGCAAGTGGTGGAGCTCTCTTCCTTTAATTCCTCTGTTACATTCTTGACATCTTCCCGGGATTGCTCCACTTCTCGCACCCAATCATGAGCTTTTATACGGGCCTGCAGGGCACACTGTATAATTAGTGTTTATGCTTGTGAATAACATATGTGTGTGTGTTGGAGAGTGCAGGTACACATTTAGGTATGCAGTGTGTGTATGTGTGGCTGTACTTTGTTCAGTTTGTCTGGAGTTGCAGCAACATGGAGCTCAAAGAGCAGCTCAGTAAGAACACTGACAAACTCCTCTCCATCAGCAGCTGAAACACACAGATCACGTAAATTTAATACCCAAGGGCAAAAATGTGGAGGACTGAAATATTTATAGTGCTCTGACTGAGTCACCTGTCATATCAAATCAATGTTTGTTCATTGAGATGTGCTAATATTAGGTTTTCCAATACTTAGTAATTTCAACCAGAATTATAGACTACAAAATCATTTCACAGCCATAATAATTATTTATTATTCATTTTAACACAAAGTCTATGATTGGATTTTAAAAATAAAGGTGTGAATGTGACGTTTTATCTTGATTAATCTACATTAATGCATAAATTGTAATATAGATTTATCTAGCACAGTATCTTGATTGTGGTCTGGATTTGACTGTGATCTGGATTTGTCTAAATATGTTTTGGCATTTGAAGACTCACAGAGAGGAGTGGAACACTGAATTTGTGAATAAAGTTCACCGTTTTCCCCTGAGGCAGCATCAGGTTCCTCCTCATCGTGAGTGATGAAGATCTCTTTAATTGCAATCAGCTCCTTCTTCATAACTTCCAAATCTTCCTCCTCCAAAGTGGACAAGAATTCCTGCACCTGAAATGAGGAGAGATACATGATGAAAAGAAGAAAAGGAGAAGGATTTCATGTCTGACTTATTAGATATGCTGCATTTATTTGATCAAAAATACAGTAAAAAGTAATATTCTGAAATATTATTAGCATTTAAACTCTAAAATGTAATTTATTCCTGTGATGGCAAAGCTGCCTTTTCTGCAACCAGTACTCTAGTCTTCAGTGTCACATGATCCTTCAGAAATCATTCTAATATCATGATTTGGTGCTCAAGAAACATATCCTATTACTACCATCAATGTTGAAAACAGTTACTCTCAAACTGAAGAAACTGAAGTTGCTGCCCAAATGAAGATCATTTATTTTTGAACAGAATTTTTTTAACACATTAAGACTTTGTTGTCACTTTTGATGAATTTAATGCATCCTTGCTGAAAACAAAAATGCCTGACCACAGACTTGGACAAGGTTGGTTTATGCTAGTTTCATGTCAATAGTATCACTCAGTGGTCTTTTTCTTCACACATTTAAATTCATATTAATATTTCATGTGCATTTGTTTATTTATTTGATAAGTAACTGTGTAATAATTGGATAACTGTACAATCAGTCGATCATTCGTGCAAAATAAACCTGTAAAATGTATTATGGGTAAATGCAAATGGTGTGTGTTACTAACCCTCCCTTCACTCTCATTGGAAAGTATCTCCAGTGCCTCAAGATGAGACAAGCCTTGGTAATCATCAAACAAGATCCCATAGTGGGCGGTTGGGTCTGTGACCATTTGACTGCTCAGTCTCTCTCTCTCCTTTTCCTTCGCTTCTTTTAACATCTGCAGACATAAGCACATACACAAACATACACTGAAAATATGGCAGAATTTTCCAACAAAACCACTGTATCTTCTAGTATCCGAGGTAAGGCGGTTGTAGGCACTCTGCTGGGTAACAGCACCCAATAATCATGGTGAAAACTATTATTTGAGCATTTGTTGACCATCTTACCTGAGACAGAGAGACAGTTCTCTGCATCAGTATTTTGGTCTTTTTAAAACCTGGATCACTCTCTGCCAAGACATTCATGGTCTTCTTTCCAATGAACTCCAAAGCATCAAGGCCTCCTGTTATTACTGACTTTCCCTGATAAAGCAAGAGGGAGAAAAATTAATTCGTTTCTACGATGAAGGGACAAGAAACATTCATTCATCTTAGGTGATTCGATCACAAGCGATCAGCCGAGACTTATTACTATCTCAAATGCCTCTCCAGATTCATCAAGTGT